GCCTTAGCATCTCTTTCTCCGAATCGTTTTGGAAGTAAGGATCTATCAACCTCCACCGAGCCAAGTGTGTGACAATTCTAGGACGGTCTTCTATCAGGCTTGAATGGCTTTATTGATGAAATCAAATACAAATTTACATACAGAAAGAAAAAAACTAACACTTCATATTCTTGCTATATTGTGTAAACAAATTTGATCATTTGTTTTTAGTAAAATCACTTATCGCAAGTATTTTCCATGTCATTTAAGTTGCAAACATACGGAGGCATCACTGTCTATAGTGAGTTTGCATATTCGGGCTTCCTTATGATTCATATCCCATGAACAACAATTTTGATATTCTTCCAGCATAGGTCTGCAACAGATTTGTTCACCTTCCAACCTAGCTTGTCTCAATCAAGTAAAGAGACGTAGGTTACAAGACAGATGATTTAATAAAATAAACCACATAATCAGCCCAAGAAAAAACAAATCACACCGTCAACCTATATTACCATAAAGGGGCCCAACAAAACAATATTTACGAGAAATTAAATGACATCCCAGATTGCAATAGTAACAAATACTAATGACCACAAAACTGAAACGAAGACACTAAAATAAATATTCAGTCATCAACTCTGATAAAAAAAAATGCAATCAATAATGAGCTAACGGCACGACCAAAAACTAAACCGTTGTTATAAAGAAAACCCAAAGGCAAAGAGCAGAAAACAAATGTTATAAAAACAGAAACATACTGTACCAAAACACTAATAATAAAAAAAAACATGGAAGACCAGAAACACATAATATAGTCTTTCTCCTATAAAACACGCCTATCTAATACCAACACCACCAGCACAATCCACCTAATTATCAAAAGGCCAAACTCAGAGCAAAGTGATATCATCATAGATATACCATATGCAAGAGATGGTATTTGATGGGCTTGCGAGCCTAAGGTTGTTTTTTAACAAGCCCGTTGGTCCTCTAAAAGTTTTAAATTTATAAAACCCTAGTGTCTGCAAGTGCACAGATGTACGTTGTAGGACTTAGGGTGTCGATCCACATGGAGGATGTCTAATCTGCAAAAAACAACAAACTGGGAAGTAAGCAAACTCATAAACCAATAAAAGATATGGGGTTTTTGGTTAAGATCCTAAACTAAACCTAATCTAATATTCACAAGAGATGCAATGCAGGATGAATTGTTAAAAGAACATCTAAAGCATATCGACTCAAACTAGAGACTCTTAAACTCATAGGTGGCGATTTAGACTTCTCCGGTTTACTCTAATTGATGCATGGTGGCATTTCCAACTAGCTGCCGGGCGATTTATCTTCATCTGTTTCTGGGAATCTGCAGTGAACTAGAATAGACACATGTGTGATTAACCAACTATCGTCACCTTAATCAACTAATCTCTTAGATCTAGCAATTAACTTTCACTCTCATGCTAAACTTAAGATCATCCTATGAACACTGAATTCTTCTGCTCACATCTTCTCTATAGGTAGCTTTCGACTCCTATAGCGACTATGTTATTCTGAAGCTAGGTACGGATGATCTGATACAGCACTCTCGTGACTCTGATCGATCCTAGGCTCAGAGAATAGGTCATGAATCTACTCTCATGCTTTACGAATGACTTAGAAGAGATGAGATCCAGAATATGGCTAAGAACAATAGAAATCCTAATCGATATATATGCTTGTCGATATCTTCAAACAACTTGACTCTCTAGGACTAATCTACATGATGCAATGAATGATAAAAGACATAGAAGAATGCAAAAGAATGAAACAAAAAAGTTAATAAGATAAAAAGGAGGAAGAACAATGGATCTGGGGAAGAATCCCCATATCCATCACCTAACCCTAGAAAACAAAGTTTGGTGGCTCAAAATCTCATTACAGGAGCACACACCCGTTTAGGACTGCTAAACAATGTATTTATAGGTCCTAAGGTCTTCCAGGTCTCATTTAGGACTTTTCTAAAGAGAAATGGCGAAGTGGGCTTTGATGTTGGGCCTTGTCGCTCATCCTAAGGTCCACCGGGGGTGAGAGTCTTCCAGGGCAAATAAAACATGTTTTTGCCGCAGGTGCGAGTCTTTCAAGACTGGTGAACTGGGTCAACTTGTTCTCCATGTATCTTTTGATTTCACCGTTGGATCTTTGTGATGTAAAGTGCTATGGAAAGCTGGTTGTCTCCTCTTGATTGTCTCCAAATTTGAGCTGGATCGGACGGTGAGAAAGTTTTCATTTGAGGCTGAACTTCTGACGGTCTGACTCTGAGCTAAAAATGTAGATTTCTTCCATTTTGGCATCATATTCCTTAAGTTTCCTGAAAAGAACTTTGAAACTACAAATACATGGAAATCATAATAAAAGTTCCTAAAACTAAGTAAAACCTTTGAAAAAACATTAATCAATGGTGAAAAGTGGTCAAAATCAGGTGTTATCAGTATTACCTCATCACAATCAGCCTTGAGAAGAAACATAGAATTTATTCTTACTTATCATGAAATAGAAGGGATGGAAGCAAGAAGAACAACTGCATACTTTCTCGGCTTCTTCAACACATTGTAAATATCACTTAAACTGATATAAGTACAGCCATTGATATCTATTACAAAATTACAGATAACAACTTCCACGCAAGATCAAGGATCAAGGATCGACACAGACATTGTCATAGCAAATCTAGACGCTGCTAAAAGGATTCCAACACCTGAAGAGGAAAATGAGGAGTGCCCAATCTATCTAGAAACATTCAAAGGAAGAAAAGATATCAACAAACTATCATGTAATCACAACTACCACCATCAATGTAATGTGAACTGGCTCAATACAAAGAAAAATTGCCCATATGTAGGACAACAGATTCTTAAATTATGATAGGAACAATTACCAATTCCAAGTAAGATAATCCTTTTTTAAAAATAATATAGTAAATTTGAGTGATCATCAAATTAAACCAACTAGAAGCATTACGGAGCAGTGAGACAGAAACCAAAAATCTTAACAAAAAAAACAACAACAACACCACCTTTTTACTTCAACGCAATCCTTACACAGAAAGACCAAATATAACACAGATTAATCAATCATTAACAAAGTAGTGCACCAAAACAAAATGATGGCCTAAAAATATAACATTACAAAAAATATATCCAACCAAAAATAGAATAAAAAACTAAAAACATAGAAAATAAATATAATAAGGAAAAAATATCACATAAAATATTATAAAAAGTTTTTAAAATAATAAATTAAATTAGACGCTCTGCATGAAGCGCGTAATAACCCATAGTATAATTATAAATAAAATAACTAATGCATGTAAACTCAATACTTAATATTAAAAACAAAATAACCAACAAAAAAAGCTAAGCATAGACAAATAAGACATTAATGTTTATCTAATCTCCCATACATTTTGGTTTTCCTCTAACAATCAAAAATAAAATTCTCACATATTCCAAAACAATAATTAACTTATTAACTACTATTTAACCACCAATTAAACCTAAACCTTGCAACTTCAAATCCTCTACTATTCTCACACAATAATTACATTAGTAAATACTAATTATACACATAATAAATACACTTCAACACTAAAATATGTCTTCTACAATTCCTGTAGAATATTATGTTAACTGCCAAAAAAATGACTTCTACAATTCCAAGACAATAATTACCTTAGTAATACCATTTACCAACCTATTCAATACAGCCAAAAACCACAAAACTATAAATACTAAGTTCTATGCCAACAAATTCCAACCACTCTTTGAATTACTCTTCCCTAATCATAACCAAAGCACAATGGATTTATTCCTTCAAAACATTGATCCTTATGTTGTTTTTGAAGATTTGTGTCTTGCTGTGAAAGCACAACATGTTATTGGTCGCATGCTGAAATACTGAAATGTCTGTAAAGAATCAAAGCATGACGATTTCAATGGAAATCTCTTTTTTTTTTAATGCTTAAAAAGGTATTTATATTACAATTTTAAATAATTTTTTATTTTCTTAAGGCCAATATATACATGTATCTAACCATTTTCTCATATCCACAAAATACCACCATCCATATCTTCATCTCCGAAGAACTTGTGGGACAATATTATGCTGATTTACTGGAGGGAAAAATCATCCAAATTCAAAATTTTGAGGTGAAAAGATGTACTAGACACCACAAAGTAACAGACCATCTGTTAGTCATCAATTTCACCAACAATACCAATTTGGTTGATGTCAACAACACATGGCTGAAGATAGAAAAATACAAATTCAGGGTTAAAAGCCATGAACACCTTCTCGCGCTTGATATTCTAAGATCACCATTGTTGTCTTGTCTATAGGCAATTACAAATATTTAATTGCTAAATGCTTACTACATTCCAACCCATTAGTCCACTACATTAAAGTATTTTCTCTTTAACAATCCTATTGAGGGTTTGAATCATTTGAAGGCTGCAAATGACAAAAAAAAACACTACAAGAATTCACTTAAATAGCTATGGAATTTTCTGTAGCTTTCTGTAGCCATTCGTCGTGGTTACGGCTTAAGCAATTGATTTTTCATGACAATGTGGCTACAAATTTTAGCGACGACCTTCCCTAGCAATTTTATAGCCAATGTAGCCAGATTTGGTTACAGATTATTTGTTGCTACTACTGGTTACGTATATAGCTAATGCCATTTCTTAGCTAAAAACGTGACAAAAGTAATCAGATTTAGCTACAACCATCTTTTAGCTAATGCTAGCTACGATTTTAGCATCAAACTTCGTGGTTTCTTTAGCTAAAGAGTTGGCTACATATTATCTGTAGCTAACATAATTTATAAAATTTCTCAAAAATATTTGGTTTCCAATATAATTCATTACTAAATTTAATCATAATATAAGAAAATACATTAAATATAGAAAATAGATTATAATTATAAAGTCTAAATCCTCAAACATAGTTAGAAATAGTTAAACATTATCCAAGTCATAAACGAGTCAGATAGTTAAACAAAAGCCTAAACGAGAAACTAAAACATAACAAAAGTTCATACTTAAACTTACAATTTCTATTGAGGATCTTCCAAAATAAAGGTGCTTGTGTCTTAGATGTTATCTAGATCCATCTGCTCGCTGGTGCTAGGATGTGTGGATGGAGATGGGTCGGTGATGTCATTTGTAGCTGCTGCTTCAGTTAAATTTGTCTGAGTGTGGGGCTTCTAAGATGGATGAGGTGTCTGTTCAGCACCAAGTACCGAAGGCACTATGACCCCCTGAGCTTCAGACAAAGCGGTAATCTGCTGGCTAATAACTGTTACCACTTCAGTCAAATTGATAAGATCACGCTCGTAACGAGCTTGGCGAGGCAAAACGACAGTTGGTGGATCAGTGGAATCTTCATACTCCATTTGTGCAGAACCAAGTCCAAACAATTTCCCTTTGTGTGGCTTAACTATCTACTAAAACTTGTTCACCGAAAGTAAGCATAATAATTACAAATTAAAGAACTTATCTAAAGAATCACAAGTCAAATTGCTATAACTTACCGAATAAAAAGCTTCATCACGCATTAATGGTGTAATTGGTGTTTGTGTGTTGGGTCCTTGGCTGCCAACCTCATCATGACCAGTGTTGGTGAAAATTCCTTGCGAAATGACAATGGCCTCCACTTCTTCAACAATCATCTTTGCATGTTTGTCCACAAAAGTGCCGTCACCTTTCATGTGCGTCTTCTGCAATAGGTCTGTTATCACTGGCTCCTCACCCATCTCCATCATCTTTATACATCAGATACAAAAAAAAATGAAATAAGTCAAGAAGGAAATTAGAGAATAAGGAACTTAACCAAAGGACGTAAGGGAAACATAGAAAATTGATAAAGTCAATAAGATAATGAGGGATTCATCACTTGTACCATATCATATTTGATCTTGGCGTAAGATTTAGAACCATAAATGTGTTGATGTGGACCATCTCCACCCCGCTGGGATTTCCGATTCTTTGAGTTTGTAGCACTAACATGAACGGCATTCTCCGTATTCTAGTGACACCACATCAAGTTCCAGTTATCATCTGAGACAAAGTCGGGCTTTTTGTTGTGAGTCTTCCCCTTGCTGATGTTGTTTGAGATCATCCTACGGAGTTGCTTAGTCCAGAGAGTCTTCACCATGGTATGATGAGTTGGGTCCCAATAATATTTTTACTGAAAAGAGATTAAACAACACTTGAAAGTTAATGAACTTTTCCAATGCCAAAACAAATGCTTTATAAGGACAATGTAATATTATTTAAAGCTTACCACAAAATAAGACCACCATTTGTCTTGCTGCTCTTGTGGAACCTCACCAAGTTTCCACCATGGACCATCAAAATCACTAGTAAAAGCTCTTTTTATGTCATATTTAATCTTATTGTCGATGGTAATCATACCATGAAAGAATAATTTTTACATTGTTCTCTCTTACCAAAGTGCACCATTTATCTTGTCTGGATGAAGAGTAGGATGATTTCTTCGTGCAGGTGCCTGCAGTAACTCGTTGATGCTACGCAACGGAAATTGCTATGGTGCATTGGGCACACCAGCCCTGGGCCCTCTTCCAACAACACCTCTTGGGGGTAGATCACCTCGACGGGGTGTATACATACTACAATAATAGATAAACATATGACATTAGGGACATCTCATAAAGACAAACATAAACAACTATAATCGAACCAAGAACACTCAAAAGTTTTGATACCAACCCAGAAGAAACTTAAAATGAATACAAAACTATGAGAGCAAATTAAGACTTTGATACCACCGATAGTAGACTCAAAAACTAACAGAGATAGCAACTCAAAATTATATCTTTGAAACCAACATCAACGAATCCAAAGGAAAAATCAGAAAAAAAAATCATCATCAGCACTCAAATTTGATGAATTTATCAACAATCAAAGCTAGTTCCCTAAGTTTGACGAATTTAACGAAGATAATTGAAAGAAGAAAACCAAAGAGCATCATTTCATCCATAAAACTGCAGAGATTTAAAGAAGATATAAACCCTAAATCGACTTCATCAATGACCCAGAGTGGAATAGCTGATTTCACCAAGAAAACTCATTCGAGGGATTTTAAAGAAGAATCAAACCTTAGATATGTGAGTTGCTTTTTTTTTGCTGAAATTGAGAAAAAACGTAAAGGAAAGAGAGACTATGAGACTGAGGCATTATAGGCTTCTTTGCCGCGAACAAAGAGAAGGAAAATTTTAGCAAAAAATTGGGAGAAATTAAAAATTTTGGGCTAAAAATTAGGGGAAACTCAATATTTCGAGCATAAATTGGCGGCAACTGAATCTTTTGGCTACAGATTTTTCTGAATTTTCCAAAACTTTGGCGCTAACAAAGCTGTAGGTGTTAGCTTCTATCTTATTTTTTTTTTCGGCATCTTCTATCTCTTCTATCTGATTACATAATTAATGAAAAAAAAAACTTAGGAAATTTTGTCTTACAAATTTAGCAAAACTAAGGTAATATATTTATTTTAGGAGGGGCCTCTCTCTCTTCTCTCACTTCGATCTTTCAGAGAGAGAGAGCACCTTTCATCTTTTGTTTTCCGATCTGATATAGATCGGATTTAATTTCCGACTTCATCGGATCCTTTTGGTTGTGTATACTTCTGTTTGTCGGAATTAGGTTTTCCGTTTATCGGAATAAAATTTTCCGTTTTAAAACGGATTGGTTTTCGTTTGTTTTTCTTAGATTCCTCTATAGTTCTATCCAGATTTGGTTTAATGGTTAAATTTCATCTTCTTCATCTTTTAATTTCATCTGCTCATTTCGGCCGGGATATTATTTCCCTTAAGTCTCCCTTAGAAGAAGCCTTTTCATGGCGGAGGGTGACAGGTCATGAAGCTTGATGAATGGTGGCTAATTTGTGGAGAAGAAGGAATCTAACTGTGGCTATGCATATTCTGGAAATTATGGTGGTTCTTTGAGGAGTCTGGTTGGTACAATCATGGCGAGTAAGGCTTAACCGTGATCTTGGGTGTTGAAGCTTCGACGGCAAACCGCAACGGCGTATGGCAGTTTGAAGCGGCACAGCGGTGATGAGCAAAGACCTATCTTAGAGCAAGACACATGTATTTATTATTGTTATTGAGCTTACACGTGATCAACTACGTGTCTTTGTTGTATTTTGGGTCTCTTTGGGCTTAATTTATTATACTCGTCCTCTTATTGTACTTGAATGCCCTTTTGGGCCTCAGAGCCTTATAGGCCTAATGAAATGGATTGACGACAAAAAAAAAGGTAATAAATTTATTTTAAACACTAAAATTAATTAATTTAATAAAAAATGTCGCAAAGATACGATACTACTAGGAAACACAAAGTAACGTGTCATAAGCCTCTTGACAAAGCAGAGGAAAATATTTAAAACAGAGTCGACGCATCAACATAAAAGGAGGAAAATCCATAATCAAAACTAAATATCAAGTGAAGTTACATATTCCAAACTTAGTACGGTTCAGGTTTAATTAAACATTACTGGCGACAACAACATAAAGTCACTCAGACTCGGCATAAGAACCATCGGATGATGTATCATAGTGGTCTTCTATAATAGGCTTTTCAAATGTTGTTGGATCGTCCAACCCTATCTCCTCGTCCGTCTCAGCATCAACTGCATGTTCAGAACATATGTCGACAATGCTGGAAGGGTGTCTCCGCATACCTCTGATTGTTTGATCAAACTATGCACACCGAAAAACCATTGTTTTAAGACCGACAGCACCGTGATATTCAATCATGAATATCTCGTTTATAAGACCGTAGAACTCCGAATCTATTGCACCGCGAACACAAACTCCATAATTCATTGTTTTCTTATGATGTCCATGCTCGTGTGTGAAACTTGTACCCCCTTGAAAAAAACATGCGATTTATAATGCCGCTTTGGCCTCTGGACAAACTCAAGCAACCACAAAGGAGCACAATTACCATAATCACCATGTTCTAGATCATTTATCTGCAATTGATTTAAAATTGGTTAATTACATATAGTATATATCATGCAAAGTTTTTACTACAATATATTAGAACTTAAATCTTTGCACCAATAAACGAAATGGTTTTCTTTAGCCAATGTCAACTCCTCAAATGTAATTTCTGGTTGGTTCATATACATATATTCCTTGAACAACCTACATATAATATTATAAAAAATGATTAGCTGTTATTGCAGAATAACTAATATAATATGTGACCGTCACTATATATACCTCTCATATGGTTGATTAGCTGTAAATGCAGAATAACTAATATAATAAGTGACAGTCACTATATATACCTCTCATATGGTTCTATCTCTTCACAATTGAGCATAAGAAATGTATGTAAGATGTGGGCGTCTTGTTCTGTTAACCATGCTTCCTTGGATTTCCCACTTACCCTTCCATTAGGTTGTAACATATTAGGAACACATGGATAATTGTACATGAATTGAATTTCACCACTGGTTGTGCGATGATGATGTGAGTCTCGACCATCTGTTGCAAAATAGTAAGAAGAAAGAAGAAACTTTAAATTTAAAAATTCAGCTACAGATATTCTATCACTAAACTATTGCTATGTAGCTACGGATTGGTGAGGACATATATCTGTGGTAAGTTAACGACAAAATAGCTGTAGCCATCTGGTGCTAGCTAGAATTTTGTTGGCAACAGTGAATCCCTCTCTAAAGCGTAGCTACTGAACTATGGAACGGCTATGGACGTCATCCCTAGCTAGATTGCTACAGATCGCTACAGAATCACCACAGATTTGGCTACAAAATTCAAGTTTTCTGTTCTGTTGCCATCTTTCGCTATTGTCGTAGCTAATTGTCTTTGCTACAGAAATGTCTTAGCCAGTCGGTAGCTAGGTTCAACAATTCTTGTAGTGAAAATAATCAAAGAGGCTGTCTATCTCTATGACATTATCAACTTATGTACTGGTGAATATGAATTAGGAAAAGAGTATTTGGACAATAGCTTCCCTATCTACCATTTCCCTAAGCTTTAAAGCTCTGTCCATACAATCAACCAGAATTTCTCAGGTGACTTTACAAATTCTTCTCTTACAACTTTATAGTAAAACTATCTTGAAGCCCACATTTATTATTCCTGGGTTACTTCTCAAGTTTTCATGTTCATGTTCTTCTGGGTAAATGTGATTCTCCCTATGTTTTTCTCTTTGATTCTCCAATTAGCTATAGGTGGCTGCCCACTGTAATCCTACTGTTTTTATTCCTATTCCCTGGTGGTCATTGTTGTGGGTGTCAATCAGATCTCTAAACGAATCTGTTGGTGGCCGTTTCCTTACTATGTTCTCGGTGTCTTCGGGTCAGTTGTTTTTCTGTTAACTTTATTATTCTTCGTCCATTGTTTCTCTAATTTGACAGTTGTTCATATGCAAGAGTTGGTGTTATAATTTTTCGCTGAAGCGATGGGGCCTGTACATTTCATTGTAATCATAACTTTATTTTAAAGTCTTAGTCTGAGTGTTTGACAATGTCTTTTTAGGCTTTTATAATTGGTATGTATTTTGATTTTGATGTTGATTTGTTTGTAATGGATGAATTTTATAGTTTTGAATGACTTCAGACGTATTTGTTTTATTGACATAGGCAATGTAACTCAATTTAGGGAGATAAGGAATCAAGTTGGTGATTTCAAATGATGAATACAAACTTCACCATCTGTTTGTAGTAGTAACAGTTGTTGCATGTTGTGGTGAGGTCTTTTAGGTTGCATAGAATGGGTTTATTGGCTCGGAGTGTTGTGTTGTAACGTCTTTTCCTCACCACCTGTATTACATGCAATGCTCCTTTGTTAAATTTCCAACATTTTGCTGCTTTCCTTTTGTTCTGTGTCTACTCCAGTTTGTCCAAGTATAATTTTCCCTCCTCTACTGCTCCTCTGCATAACATGATAATACCATAGATATACATACCGCTTTCATATGAGCCTTCAGCTGCTGATTTTAGATGCTACAGTCCTGTTTTTGTGTTGTTGCGGTGGAAGTACTCTCTTTGATGAAGTGGGCCTGAGCATTTCTGTGTAGTAGGCATCTCTCCATTAATTTTTTTATATATTCAATGCTTGTAATGGATGCATTGTCAATGAGTTCAGATTCATGTTTTTGTAGACACGCTTGCCGTTGGCCTCCTTTGCTAGCTCTGAATATGCTTCCATGGTATTACGAACTAGTGTGCGTGAGAATTGGGAAACTCTTGAGATGATATCACCTAGGAGGTCATTTGAGAGTTTCTCAAAGAGTGAAAGTGGTGCATAGTTAGACATTTTTTTTTCTGTTGCTGTTTTTTGTTGTTTTGTTATTTTTGTGAATACCTATGGGGGTTTATATACTTGAGTTTTCTTATGGTTTTTTCTCATGTATTAATTATGTATTCATTGTGATTTATTACTCATAATGTTGGATAGTGGGCATTTATTTCCCCTAATTTAGTAGTGATGTTATAGTGGGAATCTTTTGCGGCGTTTGTAACTGCTATTCTGGATGACACATCGGAAGTATTTTATTTTTTCCCCAAGAATATGGACTATAGTTTCAGGACCTGTTTGCGTCTTAGTTTCGTGGTTTATCCCAGATATATGTT